AAACGCAGCATTGTCTTAATTAAGCATCTTAATGTAAACAATACTCAACGTTACAACTTTTTACACTGTTTTAATGAGATAAATTACCAATAATAAAAGTTCTTATCTGAAATTTTAAATTAATGTGTAAAAGGAGTATTCCATAAGTGAACACATAAGAGGAAAAATAAAGAGAAATACAGTGAGATTTGAGGTAGATTAGATGGATTTTTGTGGAAAACGTACAGTACGTATAAATACACCTAAATATGATCAGTTTTTCATAGAAAGTTTTTCATAGAAAGTTTTTCCGGGAAGCACTCTTCCCTTGGCAGATCGTCCATGTGTTGTGTTGCCATTACATTCTTACATCGTTTTTTTTTTTGTTAAAAACAAATTGAACAAAGGTATTTAAATTATTCAATTGATAAAACGGCGTGAAACTCAATCTTTGTCCCCTTCTCAAAATTATCTAGATCAAGCCCCGACTAAATTACCTAAATGTTTATTCCGCACTTATTTCAAAAATATAACAAATATGCACACTGTATAAAAAGCACATTTGCATACAGAGCAGCTTTATCTTTATTACAGAACGATAAGTTCGTTTTCACGTAGTAATTTTTTAAAAAATGATTTGCTTAGCAATCTTTCTGTTCGCTTTTTCTAATATTAGAAATGATCTAAATTCTGAACATTTCAATCGAGGGAATTCTGAAGGTAAGATTGCATCGATATTAGTGCTTTTAATTTTTAAATGAATTAACTTTTAAAATCAAATTTAAGTGGTGGATTCGACCGATGTTGATTCCTCATTGCTGTGGCCAGGAGGAATCGTGCCATACGTAATTGAAGATGACCTGCGTAAAAATTTATTTTTAAATATTAAAACAATATTTTAAATATTTATCTTTTAATATATTATCTTAAAAATTTTAGTAAGATCTAACAAAGCTAGACGGTTAATAAATTCGGCCATGTTGAGCTTTCATAGATATAGTTGTGTTCGATTTAAATATAAAACCAACGAAAAAAACTACGTGAAAATTTTTAAAGGTCGTGGGTAAGTTTAGCAGAAATTTTCAAAAATATAAGCAAAATTCTTACAATTAATATTATTTCAGTTGTTATACGATGATAGGCCGACATAAAGGAGAACAACCATTGTCACTCGGAGACGATTGTCTTCATCTTGGAACCATAATTCACGAATTGAACCACGTTCTTGGATTCTACCACGAACACAATCGACCCGACAGAGACGAATACATAAAAGTAAATTGGAAAAATATAGAATCAGGTAAGAATTTATACATTTTAACAAGCATCGAGCTGCAATTTAAAAAGAAAATATTGTAGACCTATAAATTTCCAATATCGTCCGTCTGTTTTTCTTTAATCTTACGAACGGAATTAGATATTTGGACGTCAAGACCAGATATTGAAGGCTTACCCGATTAACTATATAAGAACTTCCGATTGAAACAGGAAATCACGTTATTTCAATTGAGAAATTTCCCCTGAAAGGAGTTAGATAATGACCGACAGGACTGTGTTGCTAGCAGGAAAAGTACTATGTACAGGGGCAAGACGATACTAATTTGAGATCGCGAGCATATATTTTAAATTAAATACATTTAAAATGTGATTAAAAATTGCATTGTGACGATGTCACAATAGTAAATTAATTCTTACGCTTAATAATTTATGTTCCATTTCTATCAATAGATAAGAGGTCGCAGTTCAGTAAGAATTTACCATATCAAGTGAGACCATTCAATGAATTTGATTATAATTCCATAATGCTGTATGGAGAAACGTTATTTTCGAAGAATGGGCACAGCAAAACTATAGAAGCTACTAAACCGGGTGTGAGACTCGATGAGATCGACAATAAACCAGGGCTGAGTAAAAGTGATATCGCTCGTATAAATAACTTATATAAGTGTACTAAAATATGGATTGATTAATTCGTTAATAAAAACATAAATAAAATTGAATTATGCAAATCCTTATCTTATACTTCATCTTAGTTTATATATTAAAATTATTCAACTTTATTTTATGCTGAGATCTTATTAAATCATTTATTTATACTGATAAAAATTTTAATGATTTCATATAAATATATTTAAATTTTAAAAGGTTTTTAAAATTAAAATCTCGTTATCAAAAAACGAGATCAAAATTTTGCACATTAGAAAGGGCGATACAAAAGTCAGTTATCAAGTATTTAGTGAACAATCAACAATTTTTGCAAAGATTGTAAATAATAAACTGTTTGACTAAGACACGAAATTAGTATTTATAATGGTTAACAGAAACTCTAACGTTTGTTTGCTAAACACAAATAATAACTATTTAAAACGTTACGTTGAATAATTTTCTTTGCACGCATGTTGTATACAATTTCTGAAACCTTGGCAGATGTTTGTGTACTTGTAAGCATAAATTTTATAAATGCTTCCCTACACTACTTTGGGGTAGGAATTTCTAACCTTTAGAGGATTAAAGCTTCGCTCAAGGCGCACTACATTAAAGGTGTACTATAAGCATAGTCGATAAGACACAGAGATAAATTTTGACCTTTTTATGGAATAATATCAAGTCAGATAATATATAATTCATTACGCAATTAATTCGGAAATCTAAGTAGAATTTAAGATATTTATATACAGGAATAAACAGACAGACAATTTAAAAACATTAATTTCACTTTATTGTTAATGTAAGTGGCAGTCTCCTTCTTCAGAATTTAAAATAATATCTGATTATTCGTAAAACAAATAATCAAAATTGTTTTATGTTATTCAAATGTTAAAACATTTTGTTAAAGTGTTATTTTTAAATTAAACAATCAACAGTCTTTTAAGAATGTTGATTATTTAATTTAAAAATATTATTTTATATTTTCAAAGACTATTTAAGCATTTTTTCAAGTAAGTTTTATTATAAAAAAATATATAACTGTTTAAAATTTTTTTATATCAATAAATACAGGAGAAAAAAACTCCATTTTTCTCACTTCTCAACGTTTCAGGTTCCGAGTAGAAAAATATAAAAATCTTGAGGATCGTCTTTTGATCGATCGCCATACTTTTCTTCTGTTATATGCAGTGCTGCTGCCTGCTCCCGGTGGGACTACCCTNAAAATTTCACGTGTCAAATTGATATTTTTCCATCAGATATTAATTAGTAATAATTTAACATTTGTTAGAATTAATTGATATAATTAATTTTACTGTTCAATTCATTTTTTAAGAAGGCAGGATGCCTTCCGAGAGAACTTTCTAAAAGAAACTGATCCTTTCGTAGGTGTTAGACACTCAAGAAAGCACCTAAAACTCTACGTGGCCACGTGTTGGTGAGACACGAACCCGCAACAACTATTGGTGTTCAATGGTTTAATCCATCCCAATGGTTTAATCCATCTCGCTGTTTACCAACGGATCCGATTAAAATCCCTACAAATCAATATTCCGACACGTTTAAAATGCCGACAGGTTAACAATTTATCAAAATATCGTCAAAGAAAATTTTGACATGATATAAAATCCATGGCGATCAAATTTTCTCAAACAAAAGTATTTGTGTAATAATCCGGTAACAGAGGACAGTCAAAAAACTTTCGTCGATTAAAGTTATCTTATTTTATTTCTATTGAAGTTAAATCTATTTCGAATTACAATTCTTTTTCTGACTTTCATAATTGTAACAAATAACTTGTGATTTAATATTTTAAAATATTTTTTGTTCCATTTTATTTACTAGCTGTAAGCTAACTTTATTTGGCACAGAAAACACAATTAAAACGACCATTAAACATTTTTAAAGTTTTTTTATGCTCTTTCTGCTTAAACCATACAAAACTGTCCCTAGAAAATTCCCGAAATTTGCATACATTTATTTATAAAAGTTTATTTTCAAATATTTCATTGTTTATGTAAAAACAATAACAACAATCAGGATTCTATTTTGTCGACATTTTGATTTTGTCGGTATTTTCAACCGGACCTTTACAAAAATTTAGTATGTTGTTGTGTGAGTATAAATCCTCACTTTTCAATATAAATGAAGCTTTCTATTCGTCAACTACAAATGCCAACCCGTTATTGATCGACAGTTACACCATTTCTTTACTTTTCTTCTTAAGAGAAAAGAACAAAAACAAATTTGTAAACATCAAAATTTTAACTCAAAAGATATTTAGAATATTAATTATATTGAAAATATTCAAAATTTCAAACTATTTGTGTTTACTATAAAAAATGAAATTAAAGAAGATTAAGCATCATCTTCAGTTTATTTTTCATAAGCACTGTGTACATTAAATATAACAGATTTATAATTTTTGACAGACATTCAGATGAATATAACTTGTTTCATAATGTTAGTTTAACTGAAATTGTTTACTTTAACATAATCGTTCATTCCTCATCCACTTTCAAACGCAGCATTGTCTTAATTAAGCATCTTAATGTAAACAATACTCAACGTTACAACTTTTTACACTGTTTTAATGAGATAAATTACCAATAATAAAAGTTCTTATCTGAAATTTTAAATTAATGTGTAAAAGGAGTATTCCATAAGTGAACACATAAGAGGAAAAATAAAGAGAAATACAGTGAGATTTGAGGTAGATTAGATGGATTTTTGTGGAAAACGTACAGTACGTATAAATACACCTAAATATGATCAGTTTTTCATAGAAAGTTTTTCATAGAAAGTTTTTCCGGGAAGCACTCTTCCCTTGGCAGATCGTCCATGTGTTGTGTTGCCATTACATTCTTACATCGTTTTTTTTTTTGTTAAAAACAAATTGAACAAAGGTATTTAAATTATTCAATTGATAAAACGGCGTGAAACTCAATCTTTGTCCCCTTCTCAAAATTATCTAGATCAAGCCCCGACTAAATTACCTAAATGTTTATTCCGCACTTATTTCAAAAATATAACAAATATGCACACTGTATAAAAAGCACATTTGCATACAGAGCAGCTTTATCTTTATTACAGAACGATAAGTTCGTTTTCACGTAGTAATTTTTTAAAAAATGATTTGCTTAGCAATCTTTCTGTTCGCTTTTTCTAATATTAGAAATGATCTAAATTCTGAACATTTCAATCGAGGGAATTCTGAAGGTAAGATTGCATCGATATTAGTGCTTTTAATTTTTAAATGAATTAACTTTTAAAATCAAATTTAAGTGGTGGATTCGACCGATGTTGATTCCTCATTGCTGTGGCCAGGAGGAATCGTGCCATACGTAATTGAAGATGACCTGCGTAAAAATTTATTTTTAAATATTAAAACAATATTTTAAATATTTATCTTTTAATATATTATCTTAAAAATTTTAGTAAGATCTAACAAAGCTAGACGGTTAATAAATTCGGCCATGTTGAGCTTTCATAGATATAGTTGTGTTCGATTTAAATATAAAACCAACGAAAAAAACTACGTGAAAATTTTTAAAGGTCGTGGGTAAGTTTAGCAGAAATTTTCAAAAATATAAGCAAAATTCTTACAATTAATATTATTTCAGTTGTTATACGATGATAGGCCGACATAAAGGAGAACAACCATTGTCACTCGGAGACGATTGTCTTCATCTTGGAACCATAATTCACGAATTGAACCACGTTCTTGGATTCTACCACGAACACAATCGACCCGACAGAGACGAATACATAAAAGTAAATTGGAAAAATATAGAATCAGGTAAGAATTTATACATTTTAACAAGCATCGAGCTGCAATTTAAAAAGAAAATATTGTAGACCTATAAATTTCCAATATCGTCCGTCTGTTTTTCTTTAATCTTACGAACGGAATTAGATATTTGGACGTCAAGACCAGATATTGAAGGCTTACCCGATTAACTATATAAGAACTTCCGATTGAAACAGGAAATCACGTTATTTCAATTGAGAAATTTCCCCTGAAAGGAGTTAGATAATGACCGACAGGACTGTGTTGCTAGCAGGAAAAGTACTATGTACAGGGGCAAGACGATACTAATTTGAGATCGCGAGCATATATTTTAAATTAAATACATTTAAAATGTGATTAAAAATTGCATTGTGACGATGTCACAATAGTAAATTAATTCTTACGCTTAATAATTTATGTTCCATTTCTATCAATAGATAAGAGGTCGCAGTTCAGTAAGAATTTACCATATCAAGTGAGACCATTCAATGAATTTGATTATAATTCCATAATGCTGTATGGAGAAACGTTATTTTCGAAGAATGGGCACAGCAAAACTATAGAAGCTACTAAACCGGGTGTGAGACTCGATGAGATCGACAATAAACCAGGGCTGAGTAAAAGTGATATCGCTCGTATAAATAACTTATATAAGTGTACTAAAATATGGATTGATTAATTCGTTAATAAAAACATAAATAAAATTGAATTATGCAAATCCTTATCTTATACTTCATCTTAGTTTATATATTAAAATTATTCAACTTTATTTTATGCTGAGATCTTATTAAATCATTTATTTATACTGATAAAAATTTTAATGATTTCATATAAATATATTTAAATTTTAAAAGGTTTTTAAAATTAAAATCTCGTTATCAAAAAACGAGATCAAAATTTTGCACATTAGAAAGGGCGATACAAAAGTCAGTTATCAAGTATTTAGTGAACAATCAACAATTTTTGCAAAGATTGTAAATAATAAACTGTTTGACTAAGACACGAAATTAGTATTTATAATGGTTAACAGAAACTCTAACGTTTGTTTGCTAAACACAAATAATAACTATTTAAAACGTTACGTCGAATAATTTTCTTTGCACGCATGTTGTATACAATTTCTGAAACCTTGGCAGATGTTTGTGTACTTGTAAGCATAAATTTTATAAATGCTTCCCTACACTACTTTGGGGTAGGAATTTCTAACCTTTAGAGGATTAAAGCTTCGCTCAAGGCGCACTACATTAAAGGTGTACTATAAGCATAGTCGATAAGACAGAGAGATAAATTTTGACCTTTTTATGGAATAATATCAAGTCAGATAATATATAATTCATTAAGCAACTAATTCGGAAATCTAAGTAGAATTTAAGATATTTATAAACAGGAATAAACAGACAGACAATTTTAAAACATTAATTTCACTTTATTGTTAATGTAAGTGGCAGTCTCCTTCTTCAGAATTTAAAATAATATCTGATTATTCGTAAAACAAATAATCAAAATTGTTTTATGTTATTCAAATGTTAAAACATTTTGTTAAAGTGTTATTTTTATATTTTCAAAGACTATTTAAGCATTTTTTCAAGTAAGTTTTATTATAAAAAAATATATAACTGTTTAAAATTTTTTTATATCAATAATTATGATTATTTTATAAAATTCGAATTAATACCACGACATAATAAGCAGTCAAAATGCTTATTTTGCAAATGAATTAAGTAAATTAAATAATTTCTAAATATAAAACTCGTTAAAGTTTATAAAAACATTTCTTATCGTAAACGTGAATTAACATTCAGCATATTCTTAATATCAAGTGCACGCAATTGTTTAAGATAATTTGTATAGTAATTCTTTATTCTTTATTTATACAATTGACTACGTCTTGATAACAAATAATGCTTCCCCCTAAAAAATAAATGCGTCATTTCCTACTTTTATCTAAAACTTTAATTTATCATACTTAGGAAGATACTGAGACAAATGTTGAAAGTATGGATGAGGTCGTAACAATTTTGATGTTAACTTGTGATAATGCGTAAATTATTCAACCGGCTGACTTGTCCCTTTTGTTCCTAATGTTCTTCCTATAAAAAAAATGCTGAATTGTTGGCGGTGATATCGTCGTGTTCGATGACGATGTAAGTCAGTGATTTTCGACCTAATCCCATTAATGACGAGTGAATAAAACCACCGAACAGTGGTAGGTACTTGCGTGTTTGATTCTCATCAACGGAATGGCCACGTGGAATTTTTCGCATTTTCTTTACCTATCTAGCATCTAAATAAGAGCCAGTATCTCATTGAAAGTTCTCACGGCAGTGTTAAATCAGAAATATTCAAATTATAAATATATACAGAATTTATTACCATTACAAATAATTCCTCTTTACAGTGTAAGGTCTATACATGAATACTAATTTGTAAATAATTTAAGCTCGAAGAGAGATGATTTTTAAACTGTTTTTAAACTATTTTAACAATAAAAATTCATTATAACGAAGCTCTTTAAATTTGCTNGAAAATATGGAAAATTAAAAATATTAATCATTTTTGTAGTAACTCTTAATTTACAGAATTAAATCATTAATTTTATTTATAGTATTATTATTATCACATAAATGATAAACGTTTGAACTTAATAACGTCATGTAATTTTCAAATAAATTCTTGACATTATCTGGAAACTGAAATTTAATTAATTTAAAGAATAACAAGACTTTCCGCTTCTCAATATAAGCGGCAGGAAGTAGATGACAGTTATTACATTAAAGATCACTACCTTTTTCAATAACTATCAAAACACATGGAAAAGAATCGCTAACAATTACAAGAAACAAACTGTTGTAGGACTTGTGCTCCAGAATTTTCATCATTCGAGGAAGAATCTTTCATTAAAATTATGTGTAACACAAGAAAAATCTGTATTTGTGCAATCATTGTATTATATTATTTTCTATATAACGACGAAGAAAGACGGGGCGATAAAGTGCAATAAGCAACATTCAGAAATTTCTTTTTTTGATATTTTGTTACGGAAAGATTATGGAAACGTTGCAGAAAAGAATTAATTTGTCAACTGTAAATCATCAGATGATGACTGTAAATATTTTCGATAATTACCTTTATATTTTATAAAGGCACGGTACATTACCCTAGTTCGATCTAATGCTTCGAAATCAGAAATAAAATAGAAAATAATCAATCGTTATTGAGTTATTTCAAGTCTTATTTTATTTTTTTAGGCCTGAAATAAAATAAAATTGTTTTGTTTGATTTGATAAGATACCTCAAAGCAAAGGGTCGGCGATGTACTGTACCTCCCGGGAAAAATTTATATAGGAAACTAACCCTTATTTAGGTGTTACAAATGCCAGAAAACTCCACGTGACCAGTTTTTAGATTGGGTTGGAACCCATGAACCAGTGTTCGGCTGTTTTATCCGCTCGACCGATGGTGACCAAACCAAAATGGTCAAAAGAAATTGCATTTGATTTCTAAATATAAAAAAAGTATTCTAAAAGATTTGTAATATTTTATAAGCTTATAAATAACGCAAAAATTATAAATATTCATCACTAATTACTCATATTTAATGAAAAGTTTATAATTTTCGCTTTATACAAGATGTATTTACTGAACAATCTTTACATTTTTAATTCAATCTTTAAAGCATTAAATTCCTTATTTGCGTATAAAAATTAAGAAAATACGATCGTCTTTNTTTTTTATATCAATAATTATGATTATTTTATAAAATTCGAATTAATACCACGACATAATAAGCAGTCAAAATGCTTATTTTGCAAATGAATTAAGTAAATTAAATAATTTCTAAATATAAAACTCGTTAAAGTTTATAAAAACATTTCTTATCGTAAACGTGAATTAACATTCAGCATATTCTTAATATCAAGTGCACGCAATTGTTTAAGATAATTTGTATAGTAATTCTTTATTCTTTATTTATACAATTGACTACGTCTTGATAACAAATAATGCTTCCCCCTAAAAAATAAATGCGTCATTTCCTACTTTTATCTAAAACTTTAATTTATCATACTTAGGAAGATACTGAGACAAATGTTGAAAGTATGGATGAGGTCGTAACAATTTTGATGTTAACTTGTGATAATGCGTAAATTATTCAACCGGCTGACTTGTCCCTTTTGTTCCTAATGTTCTTCCTATAAAAAAAATGCTGAATTGTTGGCGGTGATATCGTCGTGTTCGATGACGATGTAAGTCAGTGATTTTCGACCTAATCCCATTAATGACGAGTGAATAAAACCACCGAACAGTGGTAGGTACTTGCGTGTTTGATTCTCATCAACGGAATGGCCACGTGGAATTTTTCGCATTTTCTTTACCTATCTAGCATCTAAATAAGAGCCAGTATCTCATTGAAAGTTCTCACGGCAGTGTTAAATCAGAAATATTCAAATTATAAATATATACAGAATTTATTACCATTACAAATAATTCCTCTTTACAGTGTAAGGTCTATACATGAATACTAATTTGTAAATAATTTAAGCTCGAAGAGAGATGATTTTTAAACTGTTTTTAAACTATTTTAACAATAAAAATTCATTATAACGAAGCTCTTTAAATTTGCTCGTTTTAAATATTAAATTTAAATTTATTTAAATATCATATTTCAAATAAAGCATTTAATTTATGGTTTTTAGAAAATCAATTATCATTATCTTAAAATTTATTCGAATTTAAATATATTAAAAAATAAAGGAATAAATTATAAAATTATTTCATTTTACGAAAAAATTTTTATAATAGGAATTCCAAAAAAACACTTTTTATATTTTATAAACTTATAAATAATGCACAAATTATAAACATTCAACACTAATTTTTTATATTTAATGAGTGATTTTAAGTAAATGATCATATTTATTATAATTTTTAATTTACACAAAATGTATTTAATAATTAAGCTTTAATTTTTTAAATTTAAGTCTTTAAAACCTTAAAAATATTTATTTTTTTAATGATTTTTAAGTCTACATAATGCAATTTGTATTATTTTCTTATATTTATTAATTAGAAGCATCTATAAAGCTACTTTGTTCGTCTAAGTGTCTCTTCGTTTATTTCTTCTTGCAAGTAAAATATTAATATTATATATGTTAACATTTATTCATTTTAATTTATAAATTATATACTGTACAGTATTAGATTTAAACAACGAAGTAAAAGTTTAAAAATATTCATTTTACTTACTTTTTACGTCTTTATTTTATATAAAATTACATACAAAATAATTTAAGTATTAATTTTAATCTAATAACTTAATTATAAACTGATTAGTAATTAAAAATTGATAATATTTTAAATTAACAATAAATAAGCAATTTCTATATTTTTTCACAATTAATTAATATTATAATAAATTATATTAATCAATTTTATTTTATTAAAGAAAAAAAAATTATTAACAAAATATATTTGGGTCATATTTTAATAAGAAAAAGTCAAATTTGGCTGTGTCAACTAGTTAAGGCATAGAACGATAAGTCAATGGACGAATCCCTCCATAGGACTTTCTATGGGGAACTGCCTCCCAGTTTGGTTTAGAGAAGTAAAGAAAACTCGGAAACCGCGCGTGTATAGTATTTTTTTCAGGCGCGAACCCGTGACCAATACAAATGTTTAATA